TCTATTCTGTCGGATTTTATCCATTTACACTTGCTTATATATAACATGTGTATATATATGTACATATATATATATAAAATATATGTGTATATGTGTATATATATATATATATATATATATATATATATATATATATATATATGTTTGTGTTTATTCCTTACTAAAATGTAACAGATTAATTTTCTTGTAGACAATATTTTATCCATATGTTCACATCTCTGATGAAATATCTATTAATATTGTTTATATATATTTATATATATATAATGTTGTAACAGCTTCTTTGTTATACCGTTGTATTCATTAATTTAGATGCACACTAATTTATTTTACACGACTTTTTATTTTTATTTTCCAACTTATTGCCTTCCTTATCAATGCACTTAATTCTGTGTTTAACATTTATCACAGAGATCATACCTTATGCAGTAAAAATACCAAACCAAAATTTGTTAATAAATGTATCAGGTAACTGACATATTAATCCCAATGTATGTATATATATATATATATATATATATATATATATATATAGATATATGTTTGTGCTTATTCTTTACTAAAATGTAATAGATTAATGTTTTTCTAGACAATATTCTATCCATATAATCCCAATGTGTATATATATATATATATATATATATATATATAAGCATTCTCTGCCTCCATATATGTATGTATTAACAAGTAGGTGTATATTTCATTAGTTTGAATGTTTTTACACACACTTTGACCCTTTAAAGTTAGAAATTTTCAAATATTTTAACCAAATTTACAATAAAAAAGTGAATAACATGAAATGTGTTAGTCCAGTGCAAGAGAAAATTTGTGTCATTTTTAGAAGAGAAAAAAATTAGCAGCAGTTGTTTCTCTTCAAACAGACAGCATTGAGATTAATATTATTGTATGATAAATGTTCACTTTTTATTTGTACTTAAAAAGGACAATGAATAAGTTTTTCTTCCTCACCACACTTTTCTATATTTATTATGTTAGTAAATACTTATTTTGTAAGTTCGTAAGTATTTATTCTCTAAGTGTTATCATTATGGTACTTATTAGTTTAGTTATTGAAACACTTCTTGAAGGCATGTGCATTTTAAAACTACTTGTAATTCATTGAAAAAATTATATATTTATACATATAGTTATTTATTGTAAGTCCATAACAACTGTTTTACTATTTGAAGATACCTGTGTTAATTATAAATTTATCTTTTAAATTTTCTTCCTTAAAATATTTTAAAAAGTCAGGTTGCTGAAATATACTTACTTTTTTTAACACCAAATTTCCTTGTGGAAGTTTGCATGAAATTTTTAAAAGTAAACGAAAAATTTGTGGTGTAAAATTTATTCTTAATTTTGAATGTTAGAATATTCCTAAAATATTCTCAGTATCTCAAAAGTTATTTTTGAAATATCCAAATAATTCCTGAATATTCTTTGAAGCATTATGAAAGTAATCTAAAAAAATTTTGGTATCTATACCTTAGATATATAGCTGTTAAATAAAAATTATTAAACCAAGAAAAATTTTAAATTTGAAAATTTAGTTAATGTATATAATAAGTATTTATAAAATAAAATATTTATACTGTAATTATTAATGCAATCATTCTTGCCTGAGTCCTGTAGGTCGAGGAATTACAAAACTCTGAGTTGATCTCCAATAAAAAGTGTGAACTTGGATTATTTTTAAACAATCAATCAAGAGATGAAAATAAGAATAAAAATAAAAATGAAAATATTAGTAAAAATAAAAATATTAGCCACGTTTTTTTTTTAAATTCCATCAAAAACATTCTCTCTTGTTATGAAATTGCTTTTCTTTCACACATAATAAAACTTTGATAAACATATAATAATCTGATCATAATGAATTAAATAGTTATATTTATAAGGAGAAAACAAGAAATCTCAAAACATATTTCATATTAATGTATGTATCAATATTTATACCATGCTCACATAATATCCTTCATTAGAAAACTAATGTCGGTCTTTATTTCAGTTATATGTGACAGTATTTACACACATCTAAAGCAATAGCAAACAAAAATAATAAAAAACTGAATGGTATCAGAAGAGTTGTTAGTAACTCGGGCAAATTAGACTTTGGTACCCTTACAAGTATAATTTTATAAAATTTTCACAAGGAAAAAAAACGAAAATTTAGAATAACACCCTTTCATTCATTTTTCTTTTATGGTGTTTGATCACAACACCATAACAGAAAGAATTAATAATTAAAATCTCAAAAATTTTACTCCACTCAAGAAATTTAATATTTTTGGTTTTTAATTTCATCTTATTTGTTGTTTTCACATTTTTTCCTTTTTGTTTGGAAGATCACAAACACATGACATGGCAGCATGATGGCACCCTTGGGCTTGATAATGACACAGGTGAATACCCGAGTTGCCAATAACTTGAGGCAGCCCTGAATATCACCTATATTAAACATCTAAATATAACAGACATCTAAAATTTAAATATAAGTGCTTTTTGTCTTGGCATCTTGAACATTTTTGATGTGCACTGTCACCAGTGTTTGCTATATTTTCTTCTCTTCCCCATTTATTATATATATATATATATATATATATATATATATATATATATATATTATTATTATTATTATTATTATGAGATTATAATAAAACATGTTGAAATCACTACAAAAAAGCTTTCAGGTTTCAATACGATGGTTGTACTTCTTCAGGCGATGGTAAGTAACTGATAATTAAATGATTTTTAAGAAAATTTAAAAACAAAATGTTACCTCTTTTCTGAAAGTTAAAGGTAGGAGGACATAAGGTCAAAATTAAAAATAGACTTGTGAGTATGTCTTGATTAACCAATTAATAAAGTAATTAATTAAGTAGCTACTCACTATCACCTGAAGACATACAATCATAGTATTGAAACATGAAAACTTTTGTGTAGCAACTTCAACATGTTTTTATTATAATCTCTTATAATAATAATAATAATAATAATAATAATATATTGCTCTACTTTGTATTGAGCACTATTTTTAAAAGTACATCCTATGAACAGTGGAATTTTTCTCAATTTGTTCTTTCTCTCATTTGGATATATATATATATATATTTGTATGTATGTATATATAAAAACTGATTATATCTAGAAAACTGTTATTAATCTGAAGAATTTTCTTCTTAGAATGTGTAACACTAAGAATATTTTCCAATTTTCCATTTGCTTACCTATTATTTGTCAGAAATATATATCCTTCACATGACTAAATAAATATCTGCATATTTGTTTAAAAATTTTAAATTGTATAAATTTCCAAAAATCTGAAAAATTTTTAGAAATTTGCACATTTGAAAAATCAAGAAGTTTCTTTAAAAATCTGATTTACTTTTTAATTTATTTATACAAGAGGAATTATTTTTTCTAAGTTTTTAACTTAAAATCAAATGGATACATTTTATATATTTTTATAATTCTTTCACAATATTTCAGTCTAAATAAAAATGAATATGTTTTAAAACATAGATTTAAATAAGCATATCTGAAGGTAAATATTAAAATCTATCTACATCTACATATGTATGACAGAAATATATTATGGTTTTAAAATGAATATAAATGGATGTAGGTATGAAATTTATATAGCCTTATTTCTATAACAAATTACATATGAATCTATTAATTCATTAGAAAAATGTGGAAGCCTAATTTTATTATAGACAATATTTGTTCCATACGTTTATGCCACTCATGGGGCATTTAAAATATCAATAATTGTGTATATAAAATATTGTATACATAGGTATGTCAGTAGAATCACATTATCTTTAACATCATCTCCTTCTTTGTCAATGACCTTGATTCACGGGTGAATATTCATCACAAAGATCAAACTTTATACAGTGAAAATATTCAAAATTCAGAAAACTTAAATTTAAAAAAAGTCCCATTCTTTAATAATGCTGATTTCTTTTTTTCAGAAGATGAAACAAAAAATGAAAATTCAACTTAGCAGAAAAGATTTCACTAGATATATAAGAAAAGGATAGATTTTTTTTCTTCTCAATAAAGCACCTTTTATAGGCAGTAATAGAGAAGGCATGGTGGAGTAATGGATAGCAGCTCAGATTGAAGAATCAGAGAGCTGAGTTCAAATTCCAGTCGAACCCATTGCATTCACTTATGTGCTAATACCCTTGAGAAAGGTATGAATCCTCTTTTTTTCTGCCCAGCTATGGGTAAATAGCTGGACAGACTAGGTTCTATAGCCTTGGATGGCAACTGGTCTACCACAGAAAGAAATTGCAATCTACTGAGGGAAAAAATCTGCCTCGTCAGTCATGTATTGAAAGATTACCTAAGCATGTATCACGCATGGCGCATAACTGACTGAATAGAGCATTTAGAAATCATTTGTGTGAAAGCCTTGACAAGAAGATGATTACATTTATAACATTTTAAAAAGTATTTAAATATATAATAAAATTTTCATTTTTCTTAAATTTGAAATATTATCAAAAAAATTAATTGTATGTAAATAGATTTTAAAGATTTATCATCTGTTTCTGATCTGTCTGTCCTTCCATAGCATTCATTGTTTATCCGTGACTAGTTTTTTTTTTAATAACAGTCTTTAGTGCTTTTCTGTGCTTCTTTTGTTTCACTAATTTTCTACTTTCAGTATATTTTACTGATTTCTTGGCTTAGATCATTTTGTAAATGTTATTCTTAGATTTCTCTGGAACCTAGAAATGTTATCATTTTTTATTGTACACTATTTTTGCCTCATAAGTAACAAGGAAGGACTCAGTTATTTAGGTTTTATTGTTGAACTGAAAGAGGATTTAATAAATATTTTTTGATATTATGAATATATAAAGCCAGTATAAATGTGTACACAATGAATATATTCGAAACAACTGTAACTCCTTCTTCATATTATCGACAGATAATTAAGACGCTAAAACATATATATATATAACAAAGTGATATTAACAGACTGCTAGATAGATAATGAACAAACCAATGTAGAGAGATAAAAAGAGACATAGATAGATAGATAGATAGATAGATAGATAGATAGATAGATAGATAGATAGATAATAAACAGGCTAAGAGAGACATATAAAACAGATTAAGAGGGATATGAACAGACTGATATATAGGTAATGAACAGACCAAGATAGATATGAACAGATTGAGATAGATATGAAGAAACGTAGATAGTTAGGGAGGTGATCCCAACATTGCAGGAACTTTGGAAAGTGCCTGAAAACCACACCATCATGGGTTGATCCAAGCCTTATGAGTGAAATTGGTTAGACATAACACTTTGGGGATATCGATAGCTGTGCTAGCACAAACTCACAAGTCATCGTGACTGAGATTTTGAGCATACTGGCATTGTTCAGACTGTTGATCATGCCAGATAACATGCTCTCTTCCAGAAACTGCAACTAAGGTGAGCTCAACATAGTTACAGTATAAACCATAAGTGAGTGTTGAACAAACATAAATTTGCCTGAGCGAACCTCTGCAATAGGGATTAGCTAGACACCCTAGTAGATGGGCATCCTTGAATATGAGTGGGCAGTCAGTATATATATGTACATATATAGGAGAAAATTATATATAAATTTATTTTTTGAATTTATATATCAATTTACAAATTTTATATACCTGTATAATGTTAGAAAACATCACTATAGTCCGATGAAGTTCTAAAGAATAAAATACATCACATGAAAAATGGTTTTCCACTTTGTCATTGACGTTCCTTATATATATATATATATATATATATATATATATATATATGTGTGTGTGTGTGTGTGTGTATGTGTGTGTGTGTCTGTGTGTGTATATATATATATATGGATAGAGAGAGAGGGGAGGTTCTAAAAAATGAAATACATCACATGAAAAATGGTTTTCCACTTTGTCATTGACATTCCTAATATATATATATATATATATATATATATATATATATATATATATATATATATATATATATATACAGACAGAGAGATAGAGAGAGATTTTTTAAGTATCTATATAAAAATATTGCGTATTTACATATTAAATAAATATTAGTTCCAATCTCATTAAAAAACATGGTATAAAAGTTTCTCATTTGAAAAAAATATTTTACAAGCATATGAATATGAATTAGCACATATATTTTTTCCTGGCAAAAATAGCTATATTTACAAGGGCCCTCATATATAACTTAATTTCAATTGAGATAATGCAAAAACAAGTCAAGTAAATAAGATAATAGCTAACACAGGTATTCATATATTAACCTTATCAATACAAATATATGGTACCTTAGCATATGAATGAAACTGCCACAGAATTCTGCTCATCTCTTTTTTTTATAGCAGGAATTGTGAGGTAGTCTTGCTAATTACTATTATTTTATTGATTTCAATTATCACTCACTTATAGAAGATATGAATGCAATATTCCAAAAATATGTAAGGTACATCTTATGCAGTTATGAAACAATACTATCTAAAACCGTGTCTTAAGGATTAAATTAAAAAAAAAACAGGTTTCTTACATGACGAGGGGATATTATACAATATAGAATTCACAAATTGTGTCATGATCAGTTTTTCTTATTTTATAATAAGATGGATATAAGCTATAAAGTAGATGAAAATACTGTTTTGTTCTACTTGAAATTAAATTGTTTCCAGTTATGTTTGATTTGGTTTTACTTTCAGATTTTTCTTAATATATTCATGAAAAAACAATGAATAATACAGAAAGTAATTTACAATCCCTGAAAATGCTGTCCAAGATCACACTGATCAGACTTTTGCAAAGTTAAACATATTAATTAGATAACAATGTCCCTAACTATGATCAGTGGCAATCTCTATTTCTGTACTCCTGCTACTTGCTACACAAATGTTTAATTTGACTCAAATCAAAGTAGTTGCTTAGTACTCTGCTAATAATAATAATAATAATAATAATAACTAAAATGACTTCTATACAATACTTGTTAAATCAAGGGAGATAACTAATAAACTATGTGTTTCTACTTACTAGTTTTACAATATAAAGTTGTCATCAAATCTGTTGTCACCCAACTATTAAGTATTATTATTACTAATGCCAGTATTACTAACATTTAAACTTTATATTCAGATTTGTAAGTGTAAATTTGGATGAGATCAAAGTTGGTTATTTTGAGGCTTCCAAAGAAAGAGAAGTGTTTGTCATTATGAAAAAATAAAAAGAACAAAGAAAAAATTGAACAAAAATAATTAATTAATATAAACATTTGTTTTCACTCAAAATGTCAAATGAGCTACAGGTGCCATAATGGTTAGTGGCACAAGAAATGGTATTGGCAAGCCAAGTTCAAATTCTGTTGCATTAATGCCATTGAGAAATCTATTTTTCCTCCCAGCTATGAGTAAAGTAGCAAAGCAAACTGGGTTCTCTAGTCTAGATAGGGTAATCCAATTGATGAGAAAAACAAGTCAGAATTTAACCCCTCCCCTACTTCCAAAAAGATAAAGCGCATTATTCCCTATGTCTGAGATGTTAGAGAAGGCCTGAATTTTCTCCATGTCTGAAAAATTGGTTTATAATAAATATTAGAATTAATTAATTAACATAACTTGAATAATTAAAGATGAATTAATTAATATGAATTAATATAAAAAAATGATAATGATATTTTTCTAATGTGGCTGAAACAGATTTTGATGTTTTAACTTCTTTTTACCTGAAATAATTTGAAATATTTTAGATTTTAAACAGAAACTAATTTCAATTAAAAATTCAATAAATTAAATAAATTAATTTTTATTTCATTTTTCTATTTTTATTTATTATTTGATGAAGCATTATCAAAAAATTATTCATTTTAGACTGTTACTTTGCAACTTTGTGGGTTTCATTAAACTTGTCTACAAAATTACTTTAAAAATATATTAAGAAATTTAGCTGTCAAACTTAACCAGATCTATTCTCTCAATTTACAGATATAAGTGTTAGAAACATTATGATATGTATTAGAACTATGTTAAGTAATGAATAACAAATTGGGAAAAGGCTGTGTACTTCAGTTTGATAAAGTACCTTTTAGAGGACAAAACTCTTTATACAGAATTTTCTCACTTTCCCAATTAATTACCAAACATTATGAGATACACCTGCTGTTTATGTAACCTTCTGATATCACAGGTAGGTTTTTTTTGTTTGTTTTTTTTAATAATTACATTAAATTTTTAATTCACCCTTACACAATAAATAGGATTGGAAGAGTGAAAACAAAAGACATTGGAGAGTTTTCTCCTTCAGGAATGAGAGAAGAGCCTAATAATGGTGATGATATATATATATATATATTATATATAAGTGAACATTGAAGTCAACACTCAGAGGCGACAAGCTGTTTCATGCTAGACACAATCGTCAGGCCACCCGAGGATTACATCTAGCATGAAACAGCTTGTGTTGACTTCAATGATCACTTTTGTATTTATATTTACATACGCTCTATCTCTGATATTGCGCACTTTATCCCATAAATATAGCACACCTTAAGACTATATTCCTTCATATATATAATATATAAATATATGTATGTATAAAATTAAATCTTTGCTTATCTTGTCTCTTTATCTTATACACACACACACACACTCACACACACACACACATACACACACACACACACACATATATATATTCATATTCAAACCTGATTGGTTGAACAATATCAACAAATTCTCTCTATCCAATAATTTATTAATTTTTTAAAATTTCTGAATTAATTGTTTATAATCGGTAAATTTACCAAAGTTCATATTTATTTTTATTTTCTTTTTTTCTACAAGTACTTTGGAATATTGGTACATTCATTTACAAGGATTGTGTTTTGCGTATGTTTATGGGATTGTTTTTCGACAATCCCAGAAAATAAATGTAGCAACATTAGAAAGTACTCGATGGTAGGAAATAAAATAAAATAGAAAAAATGTTTGATAAATTCACCAATGATATAAAACAACTAATTCGAAAATTAGAAAAAATTAATAAAGAATTTGACATACAAAACTTGTATATATTGACAATATTCAACTAAACATGTTTGATAGAATTTTTGATGGTGGAATATATACCTTATATATATGATAACAAAAGCAAAGATTGTATTTTGCCAAAAAACTGTCCACTCAGGGTAATTCTGGAGGATAATGTTTTTAAGGCTTGGAGTTTTTGTGATTATTGTGCTCAATATTAAGAGAGAAAGCATTAAGAATAAATGAAATTAAATATGTTCACTTATCTTGTCTCTACTTTGAATTTTAGAGAATAACATGTAAATTTTACCATCAAGTCTCCTGAAGAATTGATGTAGTTCCAGAAAAACAGATTAGAGACAAGTTAAATGAATATATTTAATTTTATTGCATATGAATTCAACCAGAAGCCTGTATTACTTTTTAAGCATCCATTGTAACAATGACCCTAACAATGGCAGAGATAATATTGATGAGTCATTAATATTTGAATGATTAGAATCACACACACACACACACATATATATACATATATATATATATATATATATATATATATATATATATATATATATATATATATGGATAAAATGTAGTTTAACCCCCACCCCCAACCAATATATTTACAATACACTTGCTTTCTTTCTCTTTCCCCTCCTTCTTCACATCTTCCTCCTCCGTTTCTATTACACCCAAAATCGTACATTTTTTTATTTATTTTTGAAAATAATAATGTAGCTATTCATTAGTTTCTAAAAAAAATAGAAAAGTGTTAGGTGTTCATTTGCTAAAAATCACCTAAGGATACCATAAGGTTGAAACCAAGGTAGCAGATTCAATTGATCTCCTGATTTTTAAAGTTAAAAGCTCTACCTGTTATTTTTACTTTTGTTTTTTCACACAAGTATTAAGCACTTTTTAATAGTACTGTTTCCTGGTCTGATTCAACTCTGACCACTAACTTTTTATGTATTATATATATATATATATATATATATATATATATATATATATATATATAAAAAGTGAACATTGAAGTCAGCACTTAGAGGTGACAG